AAAAAAAATTCCTTCTGGCTGCTCAAGGACTATAAATATATAAATATAAAGCGATTTCTCTTCCATGCCTTGGTTTTTAAAAAATTCTGTGGAGTATTTCTGCCTTCTCCTTACCTATACTGTAAAATGCTCTCAGTAAAGTGACTGATTAGCAGGCTTCTAGGAAATCATCAAAATGAATGGAGGCAGAGAGGTCTTGCTGGAAAGCTCTCTGTGCTTTCCACAGTTGGAATTTTCTGAATCTAAGCTGCTAAACTGAGGCTTTGGATTTTGGAAAGCACATGCTACAACAGTTATTTAGCAGCAATACAGTAAGCAAGGGAGGGATGGTAAGTGTAAAAAAAAAAAATCATCTCCATCTTCAGTTGAGAACTATATGCCTTGTGGCTATCCTGAAAAGGGCAGGTGTTCACTTGCCCTTTGGGTAGAAGTTCCCAGTCCTCACCATGAGTTCAAATCTCCTGGGGACCTTTATGAAAAAAATGCAAATGCTGGGACCCCCACCCCAGAACCATGAATCTGGATCTGGGCTCAGGGACAGGCCTGGATATAAGCAAGTTATAAGTTCAGTAGGTGGTTTTAATGTGTAGTCAGGGTTGGGAATCCTTGCCTTCTGGAAATCCTGAGGAATTTCAGCTGGTTTGGCCTAACTATTTTGGATATGTTACTTTTCAGGATAGCATTGGGCAGCTGGAGAATGATCTGAGGAACACCAAGAGTGAGATGGCACGCCACCTTCGGGAATACCAGGACTTGCTCAATGTCAAAATGGCTCTTGACATTGAGATAGCAGCTTACAGGTACTGCAAAGGGCCTGCTTACCCAAGTAAATCCAGTCACCTAGGGGCAATACTGCCCAAATAAGTGGGTCTAGTCTCTCTGGCTTCTGACTGGTGAGGGAGGGAAGAAGGGCATCACTGGCCCCTTTCAGCTGAGCCAACTGCTCCATCCCTCTACTTAGATATAATCCAGCTCCATCTTACTAGTCCCGGAGTATTCTGTGTACCTCTGAAAGGATTTAAGGGGATAATGTGAGTACACAGAGGTTAAAATAGAAACCCATGAGACTCGTAACTTTAAAAATAGGGTTTGGGGCCGGGTGCGGTGGCTCACTCCTATAATCCCAGCACTTTGGGAGGCCGAGGTAGGTGGATCACTTGAGATCAGGAGTTCAAGACTAGCCTGGCCAGCATAGTGAAACCCCATCTCTACTAAAAATACAAAAATTAGCCAGGCGTGGTGGCGCACACCTGTAGTCCCAGTTACTCTGGAGGCTGAGGCAGGAGAATAGGTTGAACCTGGGAGATGGAGGTTGCAGTGAGCTGCGATCATGCCACTGCACTCCAGCCTGGGAGACAGTGAGACTCTGTCTCAAAAAAAAAGATGATTAAAAAACTATTAAGAGTTATGAGAAACATGGTTTGGGGGCCACTCTTTTATAGGACTGTTTCAGTCACGCTGATAAAAATCTGTTATCTGAAATAGTGTCATTCACTGGCTTTTGTTATTGCTGGTTCTATTCCTTTTGTACTCTTATACACTGAAAAAGTACACATCTCAAATTTTGTACTCTTATATACTGAAAAAGTACAAATCTCTTGAATAAAGCAGTTTCTACCACCTTTGTGGACATCTCACCTCCTTATCCCTATTGCAGCTAAGGTGTTAATTAGGAAAATTACGTCTCCCTAGAGCTTTGTTGCTAATTGCCAAAAATGGGTGTGATGTGACCAAGGGGAGTTGTAGATTTTCCTCCTGGAATGTATTTGTGAATAGGATAGGTTTCCCTTTGACAATGCTTTAAACATAGCTGGTGCGGAAGGAGTGTCTGTGTGCATGTGTATGCACGCGGTCCAACGCTTTGAGCTTTGAAATTAAGTATTTGTTGGTTTCAATCTCATGAAGAAACTCCAAAGTCCTTTGGAATCTCTCTCAAATGAATCAGGACTGGAGAGTTGAGTTCTAGGGGGAAAAAGTTATTGACTTCCTAAGAGTTTTTCTCTGTTGGATTTACAGGAAACTGCTGGAAGGCGAGGAGACACGTTTTAGCACCAGTGGGTTAAGCATTTCGGGGCTGAATCCACTTCCCAATCCAAGTTATCTGCTCCCACCTAGAATCCTCAGTTCTGCAACCTCCAAAGTCTCATCCACTGGGCTATCACTTAAGAAAGAGGAGGAGGAGGAGGAGGCATCTAAGGTAGCCTCTAAGAAAACCTCCCAGATAGGGGAAAGTTTTGAAGAAATATTAGAGGAGACAGTGATATCTACTAAGAAAACCGAGAAATCAAATATAGAAGAAACCACCATTTCAAGCCAAAAAATATAATTCCATTGCTTCGAAAAAGTTAATGCTTAAGAGGGAATGATATGCATTTGACTTGTTAAACAGCCTATTCCTGAACCATAACACCTGCCACCACTATAAAATATCTTCAAGGCTTCAGTCTCATATTTAGTATTGAATACCTTCTGTAATAAGAAAACCACCCCTTAGATTGAAGTAAACTGCAGTCCTGGAGCAATCACAGATGAGTTATCTAAGAATACAGCTTTCTGACCTTCAGCTCACGCTTCACAGTGATCGATGATTCAGGTGCAGAGGAAGTACAAACTAAGGTGCTAAATCTGTGATCATCGTCATTTGCTGTGAACTGAAATTAAAACTATTCACGCTACCCAGCCATTACCCAGCTAAATAATCTTACTCTATATACCTAAAACGTAAGATCACTGCCAAAGATAAACTAATGGTCCACACCCAAATCCACTCTGATAGAACTGTTTCACAAATAATAGGCATTTGTTTAATGGACACCTTCCACCTCCCTCAATTGCATATATCCTTTTCTTCCATGTAGGAAAAAAATAGTCTAGTGTAGTATTCTTCCCATTTAAACACATTTTGGTTCTTCTCAAAAGAACTTACCCCCATTTGCTCTCTTTGCTCAGTGGGTAAAATTAGATGCATGTTGACCATGTCTATGATTCGTGTAATTACTTATCCCTGCCCATTTCATATTCTTTCAATTCTGTGGGTTAAAAATGGCAGTGATGAATTTTAAGGGTGTCCCCTAACATATAAAATAATGAAAAGAATCCCTAGACTTTAGGCTTTCAGCTTACACAAATCCATTTAATTAGGATAAAAAACTATTAAGGATGTAGCTTTTCACCTTTACTTTAGAAGCACAGTAAATAGTTATTCCAAACTGTGATGAAACTGACCTTAGATTTAGTAGTATAAGCTAGAGGAAGTGAGTGTTTCTATGAGTGGAAAAAGCCAAGGTGTCATTTACGTGTCAGTTCATTTGTGGTGATATAGAATTAGCTTTTTCATCCCCTTACACTTAGAATCCACGTATTCCCCTTCCCACTAGTCTAGGTCCTAAAAAGGCCTCGCTTTCACTCTCCTATGCCTTTTACAAGTGCTAAGTGTAGGATATTTTGTCACCAGAACACAATGCTACCGCCCCAAAGTAAAAAAAAAAAAAAACCGCTTCTGGTCAATCAACACCACCAGCAAACATAAGAAAGAAATCTTTCTCTTTTCTAAAAGACTTCCCCAACACTTACCCCATGGCTGCACAGTTGGTGGGGTCCTGCCGGAGAGGAAGAGACACCCAGACCAGAGAAGGGGTGTGCATGCGCCTACTCGCTTGCTAGAAGTAGATTCTGGACAGTCAGCTCTTCATCTGCCCAACTGTGTAGCATCTGCGTTGCCCAGTCTTTCATGTGTGCCAAGGCTGATGCAGGATTTGTTCTCTGTCCAGCAGTCACTTCTGCCAGAGCTGAAGAGTTGCCCCGTCTCTGTTCCATGTCTCCTTTAAGAGCTCTGGTGATAAGGACATGATGCTTTTACTGAACTTTGTTATCCTAGCACATGCTTCAATAGTTCAAGGAACTTGAAAGATACTTTTCTCTTCTTACTTTTATGCCATCCCTCTCTTTACTCCTCACACTTATTGTAAGACATTAGTAAAATAAGAAATTAAAAGTCACACGAATCCCACCAACATAATTTGTGTTCTGTGGTTCCTGCCTTTTCACTGAGAGAAGCACTGTTTTTGGGTGTAGAGTCAGTCTGGCTCTGACTGATTTCTCACCTTCAGCTCAGAAATCAGTCACCCTTAATTGCCATGAACTCATTTATAGAAGAAAGATACTGGCCAAGCGTGGTGACTCCCGCCTGGAATCCCAGCACTTTGGGAGGCTAAGGGGGGCAGATGGCCTGAGCCCAGGGGTTCGAGACCAGCCTGGGCAACATAGGGAGACCTCATCTCTCAAAAAAATATAAAAATTAGCCAACTATGGTGGCACCTGTAGTTACAGCTACTGGGGAACTGAGGTGGGAGGATCACTTCAGCCCGGGAGGTGGACGCTGCTGTGAGTCAAGATCACGCCAGTGCACTCCAGCCTGAGCGACAGAGTGAGACTCTGCCTCAAAAAAAACAAGAGTAACTTACAGAGTTGAAAAATGATTAATTCATTAACATGGAAAATGTTCAGAATCAAAGCAGAGAGGTCAAGGGAAGGAAAGCAAGTGACAGCAACTGTTATGTAAACAAGACGACAAAATGGATTCAGGAGATGAGGGGAAAGCCTGCAGCATGTGCTAATCATATCCCATATGACTTTCAGATTCATTAGACAATTATATCCCCTGCATCTTGAGACTTATTAATAATAGCTAGACTTTATTCAGTACCTATTTACTATGTGTCAGATGCTATATGAGGTAGTAAACATAGAATTATATAAACTTCACAACCACTCGTTAGGTGTAGTGTTTGTATCCCCATTTTACAAATGAAGAAGTAGAACCTCAGAATCAAGGTTAAGACCCTGGTCTGATATCACACAGGAAGTGGCAGGGCTGAGATTTGAACCTTTGTCTTCTGTCTGACTCTACAATGCTTGTTTTTCTTCCCTATGTGGTTTTTTTTTCTTTGTGTGTGTGTGTGTGTGTGTGTGTGTGTGTGTGTGTGTGTGTTTTAATGAGATGGAGTCTTGCTCTGTTGTTCAGGCTGGAGTGCAGTGGCACGATCTTGGCTCACTGCAACCTCCACCTCCTGGGTTCAAGCGATTCTCCTGCCTCAGCCTCCCAAGTAGCTGGGACTACAGGTATGTGCCACCACGCCCAGCTAATTTTTGTATTTTCAGTGGAGACGGGGGTTTCATCTTGTTGGCCAGGCTGGTCTCGAACTTCTGACCTCGAATGATCCACCCACCTTGGCCTCCCAAAGTACTGGGATTACAGGTGGGAGCCACTACACCTGGCCCTTATGTTTCCTTTCTACATAAATCCCCTTGTTGAAGGGAGTAGAAATCTTTCTTTTTATCTTGTTTCACCTCTTTCTCACCATGTTTTACTTAAGGTTTCTCTGTCCCAGAAACCTTTTGCAACACCAAATCCTCCAGGCAAACTGCTACACTTGCAGACTTCCTCAGCCGCTGCCTTCCTGCATTGCCAGGAGGTGGTGGTATCTCAAAACTGGACTTTGGGCCCAGCCAACCACAAATCACCTCTGCTTCTGACAAAAATTACATAGACAAAAATTACATAGTTTTCTATTAAAAAAAAAAGGGGGGGAGGTGGGGTGGGCTTTCTTATAATTCAGCAAAGGAATTCTGTAGATTCCCATCAAGGGGCCAGGAAATGAGGGCATATTACAGAAGGGACAATTCTACAAGAGGTGGTCAATCCAGGACACTTAGAATTCATTCTACCGCATTGGCTAACGAGGCAGAATCTGAGCAACTGTCTGCAAGCTACAGCCCAAAGTTTAGCTCCAGAGTTAATGTAAGTCACAAATAATTGTGGGGATAAACTTCTAGAACTTACCTGTGAACTCAAGCAGAGGACCAGTGCCACCATTAATGGTTCTAAGGATAAACATAAAACAGCTTTTAAAATGTATTTAAGGCTGGGCATAGTGGCTCACGCCTGTAATCCTAGCATTTTGGGAGGCAGAGGTAGGTGGATCACCTGAAGTCAAGAGTTGAGGACCAGCCTGGCCAACATGGTGAAACTCCATCTCTACTACAAATACAAAAAGTAGCCGGGCATGGTGGCCCGCACCTGTAATCCCAGCTACTCAGGAGGCTGAGGGAGGAGAATTTCTTGAACCCAGGAGGTGGAGGTTGCAGTGAGCTGAGATTGCACCACTTCACTCCAGCCTGGGCAGAACAAAACTCCGTCTCAGAAAAAAAAAAAGTATTTAAAAATCAACTGGGGCCGAGTGTGGTGGCTCACACCTGTAATCCCAGTATTTTGGGAGTCTGAGGTGGGTGGACCACATGACTCCAGGAGTGTGAGACCAGCCTGGGCAACATGGCAAAACCCCATCTCTACAAAAAATACAAGAATTACCTGGGCATGGTGGTGCACACCTGTAGTCCCAGCTACTTGGGAGGCTGAGGTGGGAGGATTGCTTGAGCCCAGGAGTTCAAGGCTGCAGTGAGCCATGATGGTGCCACTGCATTCCAGCCTGGGTGACAGAGTGAGACCCTGTCTCAAAAAACAAAAACAAAATACAAATCTACCGCAATAAAAAGCAGACTGAAAGTTGCCAAGGCTTGGCTGGGCGCAGTGGCTCATGCCTGTAATCTAAGAATTTTGGGGGGCTGAGGCGGGTGGATCACCTGAGGTCAGAAGTTCGAGACCAGCCTGGCCAACACGGTGAATCCCCATCTCTACTAAAAATACAAAATTAGCCAGGTGTGGTGGCAGACGCCTGTAATCCCAGCTGCTTTGGGAGGCTGGGGTGGGAGAATCGCTTGACCCTGGGAGGCAGAGGTTACAGTGAGCTGAGATGATGCTGTTGCACTCCAGTCTGGGCAACAAGAGCAAAACACCATCTCAGAAAAAAAAAAAAGAAAAAGAAAAAAAAAAGTTGCCAGGGCTGGAGAGAGGAGGCAATGGGGCATGACTATTCAATGGATACAGGGTTTTATTTTGGTGTGATGAAAACGTTTTGGAACTAGATACAGGTGGTGGCGGCACAACATTGTGAATGTACCACGTGCCACTGAATCATTCATTTTAAAATGATTGATTTTATGTTATATAAATTTTACCTCAAGTTTTTAAACCCACTGGTAGGAAATTTGGCCGGGCGCAGTGGTTCACACCTGTAATCCCAGCACTTTGGGAGGCCGAGGTGGGCGGATCACAAGGTCAAGAGATACAGACCATCCTGGCCAACATGGTGAAACCCTGTCTCTACTAAAAATACAAAACTTAGCTGGGCGTGGTGGCACACGCCTGTAATCACAGCTAGTCGGGAGGCTGGGCAGGAGAATCACTTGAACCCGGGAGGCGGAGGTTGCAGTGAGCCGAGATCGCGCCACTGCACTCCAGCCTGGTGACAGAGAAAGACTGTCTCAAAACAAACAAACAAACAAACAGAAAATCCCACTGGCAGGAAATTTATGGAATTATCAGAAAAATATAATCACAAACATCTCATACACTTTCTGCTCCAGCTGAGACCACTGTGTATAGCCACCCTGGGTCAATCCCAGTAAGAAGGAATCCCATTAGGACACCATAAACCAGATCTAATAAGAGTATTGATTTCGGCCAGGTGTGGTGGCTCATGCCTATAATCCCAGTGCTTTCGGAGGCCAAAGCGGGCGGATCACCTGAGGTCAGGAGTTCAAGACCAGCCTGGCCAACATGGTGAAACCCCCCCATCTCTACTAAAAATACAAAAATATTAGCCAGGCGTGGTGGTGGGCACCTGTAATCCCAGTTACTTGGGAGGCTGAGGCAGGAGAATCGCTTGAATCCAGAAGGCGGAGGTTGCAGTGAGCCAAGATCACACCATTGCACTCCACCCTGGGCAACAAGAGCAAAACTCCGTCTCAAAAAAAAAAAAAAAAGTATTGATTTCAAAACAGAGCCCAAAGGCAGAAATCTCTCTGGATGTAAGTGGGTTTAAACACACACACACACACAGAGCAAGCGAGCAAGCGAGCTGGAAATGTTGCTTACTTCTAAGTGCCATCACTAAATTTCAACTAATATTATTTTTATTATATAATCAGATGTCTCTAAGTTCCTGAAAAACACCTAACTTGTAAGAATACTTTTATTTTCTTACAACAAAATAAGTTTATGTACCTGATAGTTTTTTTGTGTGTGTTTTTATGTTTGTTTTTTTGTTTGTTTTTTGTTTTTTTGAGACAGAGTCTTGCTCTGTTGCCCAGGCTGAAGTGCAATGGCACGGCTCACCGCAACCTCTGCTTCCTGGTTTCAAGTGATTCTCATGCTCAGCCTCCCGAGCAGCTGGGATTACAAGTATGTGCCACCACACCTGGCTAATTTTTGTGTTTTTGTAAAGACGGGGTTTTGCCATGTTGTCCAGGCTGATCTCAAACCCCTCATCTCAAGTGATCCGCCTGGTTTGGCCTGCCAAAATGCTGGGATTACAGGCGTGAGCCACCGCGCCCTGCCTGTACCAGAAAGTTAGCACAGTAATTTAAAATGGAAATAACAGAGAATGGGCTTCATGGGCGTTTAAAGCAGAACTCATATGTGACATTTTGTTTTTCTTTATAGAACATACAATACTGGCTTTGCAACATTTTCAAACTTAAGGTATAGGTTATGTTGAAGTCATCATGCATTTTGCGATTTTCAAATATCTCATATGCCATTTTCAAAAGGGTGGGTGCTCCTAAATCTAGCTAAATAAAGGACTGTTTTTATTACATTACCATGCCCTGCTGCATACTCTTAAAGGATGAAGGGAATGATTACTATGTAGATCAAAAGGTTTCTCTCCTCCCTTATTGATCTCCCAGAAAATGGCTTGATTTCCCCCGTGTTTTATGCTGATATTTCACAGGCTTACTAGCTGGGGGCGGAGACCAGCTAAGATTTATAAATCCATTTTTACATTCCCTTTAAAACACACACACACACACACACACACACACACAGCAGAATTATGATAAAATGGAGTGAGTCACACTGCAGACATTTCAAGACTTATTTTTTTGCAGTGTCTCAGG